AAACAAAAATTAAAATAAAAAATAAAAATGTTAAGATAATCAAATTGAATTTAATATTTGAGGGAATTTTTATCATCATACGATTCATTTCATAATACTTAACTTATTATTAATTTTGATGTTCTAGGGTATAAAATAGCTGCCCATATCAACGTTTATCTCTCTGTTTTTCTTTTGTTTTGAAATTTCTCTTTTTTGCTTGGGAAAAATGAAAGACGTGTTTGCTTCCTTCCTGAGATATCAAGCTCTTAGGAATCAACAGTTCTAGGGAGCTATTTTACTACTCTGGAACTTCCAATGAATCAAAATCCTCTATTCAGCAATGGTGTCTTCCATGAAATTTCGTATTATTTAATAAGAAAAATTTCAGAAGTCCAAATCCACCAAGGGAATAGAATAAATATATACAAGTACACACTTCTAAAGATTCTAGTTAAAGCACAAATTGGCTGCCGGATGAGTTCAACTCTTAGAACTTAAAGATATCTTCATACAATGGGAATTTCGCCTGCAATTTCATTTCTCATCTCACTTCTAAAAGAAAATGAGATATCTTCATAATTGCAAAACCTTGATTTCAGATACATCCATGCTCGAATGGAGAAAAGTACATTCGGTGCCAAAGAATAGGCAGCATAAATTTCCATTGATGTCATAAGAAAAGAAAATAAATATTCAGAAAGAAGAATTGTCATGAAAATGAAAATCTGATTATTTGTTTGCAAGAGTCCTCTTCTTCACCTTGGGCCTGATAAAACTGATGGAAGTAATGGAGATGAATCACCAAAATTTTCCTCTCTCTGAGCTGGAATTATTGCTGGTTGTGTTAGGGAATTCCCAAAGCTATAATCCAGGTTAGGTTCAATATTCATAAACCCCTCCAAGACCTTCACTACTACTGACATGGAAGGCCTCCTGGAGAAATCATTTTGCAAACACCATGCAGCAAGCTCCATCATTTCAACAGCTTCTGTTGTATGTAATTGCATATCCTCACTGCATTTATCAACCAAATCAATTAGATTTCCTTGCTCTGCATTTCTTTTGAACAGATCAACTAAATACATACTTTCCTCTGGTTGAGAGCGATCCAAAATTTTCCTTCCACATACAATTTCCAAGACCACAACTCCAAAGCTATATACGTCTACCTTTTCTGTGATCATTGAGCTCAACCATTCAGGAGCCAGATACCCAGGAGTTCCTCTCATTGTGGTCATAACTTGGCTCTGATCCCTGTCAATAAGCTTAGACAACCCAAAATCAGAAACTTTAGCATTGAAGTTGTCATCCAAGAGGATATTCTGGGGTTTAATGTCTAAATGAACTATTCTCTGCCTGCATTCTTCATGGAGATAAGCTAGTCCCCTGGCAATATCAAGGATGACATTTCGTCTCTTATTCCAATCAAGGGAGAGCTCCTGGTTTCTGTGGAAGATCCACTTATCCAAGGATCCATTGCACATGTACTCATAAACTAGTAGCCTATGGGATTTCTCTGAACAAAATCCGATCATTCTTACTAAATTGACATGATGAATGCTTCCAATTGTCTCAACTTCAGCTAAGAATGACTTCTTCACTTGCCCTAGACCATCCAAGCACTTCACTGCAATTCTGATGCCACTGTCCAAAGTCCCTTCAAACACTGATCCGAATCCTCCTTCCCCAAGTTTCTTGGAAAAATTGTCAGTTGCATCTTTCATAATTTCGTAAGAAAATTTCGTGGGCATTCCTGGTACTTGTTGCAAATCATCCTCCTCATCCTCTTCAGCATATTTTTTCTTCCTGTAAAGAATAACCCAGATAGTTGTTAGGAGAAAAATAACTAGGAGTGCTCCAACGCTGGATCCCACTATGATTGCTGTATGGTTTTCCTTCTTTTCAGGTGGAAAATTGGTGAGGGAGCTGGTGAAATTGGAGTTCTCTGAACCTTAATGAATGCAACTAAGTTATAACTAATGCCTTCGTTCTTGTTGGTCATCAGGGAGAAGAGCTGGTTAGGCAAAGAGCAATTCCCAATTGAAGCATTCCAATCATACTTAAACAGAGCAGCCTTGCAAGAACATTTATTCAAACAGGCATGCTTGCGACTCTCCATGCTTGTCTGGTTAAGGTCTGGAGGAGCAAGGTTGAAGTAATTAATATCTCTGATCTCCTTAAAACTGTGATATTGAGAAGCTTGGCAAGACAAGGGAGTAATTTCAGAACACCCCAGATTCAGTTGCCTGTCATTTAATGGCTTGAAGAAGCTTGACTCTCCGTCAGTTCCCTGGAGACAACTGCACTGCCCATCTGAGCAAACACCATAATTCCCACAGATCGTGGGATAACCACATGAAGTTATAAATGTTGTCAGCGGATCGCTCACAGTCTTCCATCCCTGCGCCCATTCATAAACTCTCACATGACCATCTGGTTCCAGCTTCATGTACGCAAGCAACGGTGGAGCTGTTGAAAACCTAGCCCAAACATTTGGCATGTTTGTGTACAGAATAAGACTTCCATTGAATAACATCACATAGTTCAGTTTGAAGTCCAGCGTCTGCTTGTAATAAACCTGCGGAGGATCAGACTTGATGGAAGCAAAGAAACCATTACTAGAAACAGAAAATGAGAACAAACCTTGAGTCCAATTCAATGCAGATACGCTAGTCGTGATTGTCTTCCCAGGCAAAAACTTCTGCCCGGGGAGCAAAGAGTCAGTTGGGTGCTCAAACGACTGCCAGACGGTCCTATTGATCTTTCAAGATCAAATCTCCATCTGCAGTCAGCTCCAAGGTTGCATTTTCTCCCACGAGATGGTTTCGATTGGCAGATCAGACAACTTGTGGGGGTGAAGATGTATCAGATACTAGAAGATCCTCTTCGATTAGGATAATAAAGACCCCGAACAGGAAAGAATCGCAATTCCTATTGCAGTAGAAGCCACAGGCGAAACTTGGACGTGATGAAGATCCTCTGATAAGGATGGGCCTGACGGCCACATTGTACTCATAATTGAAATTCTTGGAATTCTTAATGGCGGGGCTGTTCTTCCATGAAGTTGAGAGGTCAGCCATGGGATAATCCAAAGTTTTGCTGGTGATTGAATGGCAAGAAAAGATTAAGAGAAGGAGAAATTGAGCAAGAGTACGGCCCATGATCAAGCTGATACCCATAGAAGTCCGTCCATGAAGTTGAGACTCGTCATTGAACTCCCGTTCAATTCATGGATGGATCTTTTACGAAGAACGAAGTAATAAAATGAATTCTACTTTGCAATAAAAAAGAATTTGAGCCATAGAATTTGAACGTCTATGAGCTCGAGTCAGCAGCATCGTACAGAAGTAATAGGTACATCTTGGCTGTGGAAAAGTCTATAAGAATTTTCCAAGAAACCACCTTCTAGATTCAAAGGCTTATGCATGGAAGCCAACCCTGGAGTTGGAAAAGTCCAGGGTTGGAAGCAAAATTCTTATAGGTTAGCACCTGGGGCTTCTGACGTTCTCTCTCTCTTCGCAGGTCCAACGTACCTGTCCTCGGCCAAACAAGACCTCAGACTCCTCAATCAGTCTTCGGCTCGGAAGCAAAATTACCGTGTTGCCCTCAACCCATTCTAGGCCGCAACAAAAAACATCATAAATAGGTTGAGTCACTAAAAAATAACGTTTGCATTCGAATGGGATTAATTGGGAAATGGGAGGGTGACAAATGAGGGTGTTTGGTTCTATGGGCGTTTATTGAAAAAGACCACCACATCAACATTACATAGGCATTCACGTTTACTATATATAAAACCCCTATTTGATTTCACCATTTATCAAATAAATAATAAAAAAACTGAAATACTTTTGATTTTTATGCATGGGCATATGGGGAAATGTCAAAATTTTGTTTCCCCCAACTAAACAATAAAAGCAAAAAACATTTAAACTAATATTGTACAAATAAATATTTAAAGTAAAATACAAAAACTTCCCCTAAAGTTTAATTTTAACAAATACCGCCCCTAAACTTTTGAGAAACTCAACAAAAACCTCCCTTCCGTCACTGTCTTAGACGGAAAATGTTAGATTGATGCACTGGTTTTTTTCAAATATCCATTCTACCCTTTTATAAATTATTTTACATATAAAATTACTGAAATAATCCCATTTTAACTCAACAAAAAAAAAACATATTCAGTAAGTTTGTATGTAAAATTACTGAAATGATCGTTAAAAGAGGTTTTTGTTGAGTTAAAATGGGATTATTTCAGTAGTTTTGTATGTAAAATAATTTATAAAAGGGTAGAATGAGTATTTGGAAAAAACTGGTGCATCAATATAGCGTTTTCCATCTGGGACAATGACAGAAGGAAGGTTTTTGTTGAATTTCTCAAAAATTCAAGATAGGTATTTGTTAAAATGAAACCATAAGGGAGGTTTTTATGATTGTCATAAACTTCAAGGGAAGTTTTTATATTAACAATAAGATGGTATTTGATATGACTTCCATTTATTTGATAAACCGTGGCACCATGTGGGCATTTATCCCATTATGTTATTTGGCAGAATAACTTTTAACAAATCAAATAAACAAACGAAAACCATATCCAATACCTCTAAATGGCCCATCCATTAACGCCAAAGAAGCAAATATACACAATCTTATTTCTTTTTGTTTCGGTTTTACTTAACAAAGCCCATCCATCGCATCCAAACCATGTAGGTAGGTATAGGTCATAGAAATACAAAGAATATAGAATTCTTTTTCAGCTTTGCATTCATAATTTTGACCTTTAGGCTGTGTTTGGTTGTAATGCAAATAAGTTTGCATTGATGCAAAACCATGATGGTACAAATAATTTGAATGTAAATTCTAATATATTTTTGTTTCAAGTTTTAGCTTATTTTATTTGGTTAATTAAAACATAAAAAATAAAATAAAATCAAAAACAAAATTAAGCAAGAATTTGCATTCTTTATGTATTTATACTAATGCAAATAAATTTCGACTCCAACCAAACACAGCTTTAATAAATGATTTTTTATTTCCATTTTGGCTTATATCATGTCATCAATATAGTCAAGAGAAAGACTCAATACATGAACAGGACACGATCATACGATACGGCCTCAACCGATCTGTGAGCCAACAGTAAAGCCTCCTCTGTTCTATTATGAATACAAAAGAAGGAATGCTGTCTTGTCAAATTTATAGCTCAACGACAAGAAAATTAACAAATGAAACGTACATCCACATAACTGTCACAGCAATAGAGTCCAGGACGCTGAGTGAATCCTTCACTCTCCAGCATCTTCCTAGCCTTCATCACAAGCTCCTTATTGGTAACATTGCCATCTGTTTCAGCAATAATCAATTGAACCGCATTACTCATTGCACCATATGCCGCTTCCTCATTCTCTGTTGGGGTTGCATCCGCAGCTGTCTGATCCGTCTGGCACCCACTGATCAAGATACCATGCTCAGGAAGTGAACCCTTGCTTCGTCCAGCATAAACCTCTTGCTTGCTTGAAACTTCCGTTTTCATGGCTGCTTTTGCATAACCCTCGTCGTTTTCCTCCAGTTTCTGCTTCACAAACTCCAGAGCCCGATTTCCCACCGTGCCCATGAATCCACCACCGCTCGTGCCTTTATGGTGGAGTTTGTTCATGATAAACTTCATGAATTTCTTCACCTTTGGACTCGCATCCTCCCCGAAGAGGTCAAACAGTGTTGGCCGCAGCTTCCCTATATCAATTTCGTTCTTCCCTGTCTTCTGCTTTAGTATTTTTATCAGGGTGGACGGCGGCAGGTATTTGCTCTTAATGCGATGACCCTGCTCGTTGTACTGGGGCTCCCCCTCTTGGGTTTCCTCTTCATCATGACGTCGGTCGTGGTGGTGGTGGTGGTGGTGGTTGTGGCGCCTTACAAAAGGGAGTTCTATTCCCCTTGTCTCGAATGCATCTCTGACGCCAAAGCTGGAATCCGCATCTGATACTAGCTCTCGGTGCCGCTTGCTGCTCTCCCCAATTTGCTCCTTAGCCTCGTCGATTAGGCCACCGCTGTGGCATGAATCTGATACAATTGTTATGCGACAGCCTTCCGGGACTAGTTCGACGAAATCCCTGATCTCATCGTCTGCACATGAACACACAATAAGCACACACACCCAGAAGCTTCAGTTCAACCTTCAGTATGCTTTCTATCCTGGTCAACACCAGTCAGAATTTGGGCATTATCTTTCGTTTCAGTAGATCAGGGAAAATCAGAGTGGAACAGAAAGGTAATTAATGAACCAGAGCCACTAAAAATAGTAGATTATTAAAGCGTACCGGTAATGAGGTTTATGTCGCAAGGAACAATGCACTCGTCGTAGCCGGTGTCATCTTCCTCGCCGGTCTCGGGAGGTAGACGGTTACCATGACCGCTGTAGTGGAAGAAAAGGAAGCCACCGGGCTCAGCCGATCGTACGAGATCGGAAAGAGCAGCTCGGATGTTTTTGCCGGTGGGCTGGGTGTACGAATTATCGGTATCGATCAAGACGGTGATATCTTGTTCGGAGAAGCCGTAACGGTCGATGAGTGATTTGTGCATCCTCTTGACGTCATTGACGCATCCCCCGAGTTCTATCTCCATTCCCGGGTAATTGCAACCTACCAGAAGAGCCCTCTTTGCCATCTGATCAAACTGAACAACTCTCTCTCTCTCTCTCTCTCTCTATATATATATATATAGCAGCCTATTACCTCTTTCCTCTGAATTTTATATAGGGAAAATTGGCTGTATAGATAGACTCCACACAAGCCGCCCACTCGTCGGCGTATTCTGTTCCAATCCAACAACGTTCGACGTTATTTCTGTGTCGTCCACCACAGACACAGTTGAACAATGAGAGCTTAGACTTTGACTTTTATTTATGTACAAAAATTTAAGAAAAGTTGCCAAATTGAAAAGGTCATTGCATCTCTTCCTTGCACGACTTGTATTAAATGACTTTGGCTACATGAAGCCATTAATCTCATATGGAAACGTTCAGATTGGCTTTGAGGCTTGAGTTGAGTGCTGCTGGTTTCATTTTGCCATTTTGGAACTGCAATTAGAATTGAATGAATCCAAAGTTCCTATCAATAAGAAAAACGTGGAAGTGGAACTGAAGGTATAAAATCTTTTCTTTTCTTTTCTTTTTTTTTTTTTAATTTTTAGTAGTTGAAAATCAATGGAAGATAATGACCCTCGGATAGGAGAAACAGGATTTATATATATGTAGCTATTGCCAACCCAAGTGGTTGAATGTGGATATTGCAAGCTTCTGGAGTCTTGCCAGATAGTAGGAGGTAGGCAATTAGGCATTTTGTTTAGGGGGAACTGGGAAGGTGTAGGGGATGGTGCCCAGCATTCGCAATTAAGCGATGGAAGAAGCTGGTTAGAGCTCCAGTTTTTTCTGAATTACAAGTCTTAACTTGACCTTATCCAATTATTTAGCTCAGAACTCAGATGTCATTTCTCGAGCAGCCTTTGAAAGCAGTTACGAAGAAGGAAGAAGGATTCTTGAACTTCAGAAGGAGCAAGTCTCTGAAGCATATGGATTCCTTTCAAAAAAACGTTTAACAAACTAGCACCATTAATTCATTGGTTTATACAGATTCATCCCCGCAATGAATAGGAGGATGTATAATTTGGACAATAAAATAAAAAAAGAATGCTAAGAGATGGCGTCTTTGAACTCCAATGCTTCCATCCAACTTCTTCTTCTTCAACTTTTTCGGGGCATATGAAATGAGATAGTGTCTCGATCTACCTGAAGAGTCTTTAAAAGTCGATCAGAATCTGGTTTATTATAGTCGTATTGAGGAGAAGCCAAGGGCCTCACTCGCTCCTCCATCTTTGGAGAGAACATCGTGCGTTTGGTTCATTTTAAGTAGCCCAAACGAGAGCCGACTTATTTCAGACTTCCAGTGTAGGTCTTGGTGAGCCTGACTTGTCAGTTCTCACCCTAGTTGGTTGTCCACCAACACTAGAGTGACTTATCATATCAGGCTCCACACATTTGTCAGCCAAAGTTAAGGGAGGTTAAAGAAGAAGAAGAAAAAGAAGAAGAAGAAGAAAAGAAGAAGGGGGGGTCAATAAGCATAATTCAACCCAAATGTGGAGAGGTTTTTTTTACAGAGGTCAAAGTTAAGGGAGGTTAAAGAAGAAGAAGAAAAAGAAGAAGAAGAAGAAAAGAAGAAGGGGGGGTCAATAAGCATAATTCAACCCAAATGTGGAGAGGTTTTTTTTACAGAGGTCAAAGTTAAGGGAGGTTAAAGCAGATTTAAATTTCTCATTATGGATGCAAGTGCAAMATTAAATTTGTTTTGGGAGATTTAAATAATTTACCCCAAAACAAATTCTGTAGCACCCATTATGGATGCAAGTGCAACATTAAATTTCTCATGATGCAATATTTACAGCTCAAGGTGCATTTTATGACACCGATAGTGGAATATATATATTTCTGTAACATAAAGTTGTTCTTTTATTATTACATTTTTAGCAAACTGAGGCTCAGTGGAAAAAGGGCTTCAAGCAAACCAACTTTCCTAGGGTTGCATCCAGTTCCTCAGAGCATAACCCTACCTACCTAAACTCCCCACTTTACAAATGGCCGACAATGATAGCACACGGCTTCACAGATCTCCCTGATTTCATCTGGTTGTCTCAGATTAGAGATGTGTGTCCCCCACGCCCTATTCCTTGGTCCCAAGGCCTTTGGATTCACTCCATGAAAAGGGTGCCCACTACCAGCTTTTTACCTTTCCTCTGTAACCCTGCGAACCAGCATGTATGGGAGCAGAGCAAGCGGCAGATGTTGTAGATATTCCCCACTGAAAATAAAAATAAAAAATAAAAAATAAAACCAAAAATGTTATAATGTTTGTTGTATTTAAATATTGATGATGGTCAACTAATAAAATGAAAAACATAGTAACCTACTTTGAGAAGCATTGAGGACAGTGCTGTATGGTGCATATCAGTGACATTTTTGTTATAGGTGTGATCAATTCAATGGTGGGTCCGCCTCCTCTACACATTGGACTTATGGCAGCCAAGGCCTGAGGAGTAGCATTTTATTACTTCTTACAGGTAGGCATCATTGGACTCTTGCAATGCCTTAATAACACACGCCACTGAACAGTTCCAATGGTTAATAACCAGCATACCACATCCCTACATACTCGTGGTAAAAGTAGCAAAAGAGCAGATTTGCGAAGGCCCACTTACACCCATCAAGAGTCCCTACTCGTGCAAAAGATTGCAGACCATTTTCTTTGAGGTACAAAACATCATGTTTACCAATTATCTGATTGGATCAATTTTCTGATCAGGCATCCTGCCAGAAGATGGCAAATGCCACAGTTGAGAAAAGTATATTATTCTAATCTAAAAGTCACAATTGTCTTGGGATATAATCCTACTTCTTGCTTTTCTGGTTAAAAACAGAAGATATTTACTTAGATTGGTATCTATGTATCTCTCTTTGGAGTTCCATCTCCATGCCCCATCACCCATGGACTAATATAAAACCAGAATTTGTGTGAGAGACATAAATCTGCTCACCAATGATCCACTGCTCGCATGTTTTTTGATGAATAACTAGAACTTTGAGCAACTAAGTCAGATGGTTAGAAACTCGGATCATTCAACCCGTTGCAATTTCTGGAACAATGGCTAGCATTAGAAAGGTAGTCCGAAGGCCCATATAAATTGAAGCAAAGAAATCCCATATAAAAACTAAAACAAAATAACTTTAAATGTTTGTGACTAATACAAAATTATGGTTTTAATTGGCAATAAAAATAAACAAATGGAGTTGCTAGTAGGGGTGCAAGTCAGGCCAGGTTAGGTCAGGTTGACCCAACTTTTTCACTATGGCTATGTTTGGTTTAAAGGAAAAAGTAGGGAAAGGAAGGGAAAGGTAGGGAAACCTTTACAAACCTTGTATTGGTTTCCCTACCTTTCCTTTCCCTACTTTTTCCTTCAAACCAAACACAGGCTATACATATATGATGCATGCATACATACATATATATATAACCCAACCAATCCTATTTTTTCGGGTTTCGGATTGGGTTGGGGGCTTGGGGCTAACCCAGCTTAAGTTGCACTCCTAGTTCCTACCTGGCCCTCCCAAATAAAGCCCTTATCTTATCACACCACGCAGAGTATTCAAGCACGAATATCCTTATAAGGAAATTAAAAAAAAAAAAAACTGCAAAATCATAGTTGCAGAAAGTGATATTCATTTCTTACCAAATGTTTCATGGCTGAAATATTACATAGAAGGAAAGACTATAGAAATATACTAAGAGCCCCACTCAGCATTCCTCAAACACAGTGAAGCCTCTACCTGTATGACCATAAGCATGTATGGCTATCATTGGTCAAAATGTTACACCTTAAAAAAGGAATGCAACCATGAAAATGAAATCTTTGAGTTGCCAAACAGAAAAAAAAGAACTATATTCCACCAAACAGAGAAGAAAAGAGATAAGGGTGCTCATTTGCCAGTCAAAATTCTCCAGATCAAAAGAAGAAGAGATAAGAGTGCCCAAATTCTGCACAGCTTGCTGTTACCCACACATCCTTGAATGCTTTTACAATAAACCAACTATATTTTACCAAATGGATTCATTTGCTAGTCAAAATTGCCCAGAATTTGAGATAGAGTACTCAAATTCTAAACAGCCTGCTGTTACCCATGCATCTTTAAATTCTTTTACAACCAACCAACTACATTCCACCAAGTGGGTTCATTTGTCAGTCAAAATTGTCTAGATCAGTGGGCCAATTTGCACTGCTCAGTTACCCATATGGTCTTTGAAGTTCCATGTTGACAATCTCAATGAGACATTGTTAAACATATAGAAGCTCAAATGAGCAAAAGGTGATTCAGTGAAGGTCCCGCAGAAGAAACAGCACTACTTTATGAGCATCCAATCCATATGAAGATGATGCATCCATCTTCAGAAGAAACCAAAATAACCTTGATTTATTCACAGTTGACCTCTTCTGAGGTTAAGAAAGAACAAAAATGATATTGATCCACTGCAAATTGTGTTTAGATATTAAAATGCATTCACAAGAATTATTTGAAGTATTGGACTTCATGGGAAGAGAGAAATAATAGACTATTTAATGGCAAAGCTCGGTGTAGTTGTGTATGTGTTATCATTGAGAGAATAACAGTGAAAATAGCTTCTTGGTTCAAAATGACAAGTATTTGATCCATTCTCTATAGAGAATATCAATAGGGGATGGCAGCTGGTTTGCACAATCCTCAACTAGATCTCTTGTTCTCTCATTGTGGAGGCCACTGGATACAAATGTGATAAAACTAACTTGATGGCTGCAGCAGGGGCAATCCAGGCCCATCTGGCATAAGTGTGGATCTATAGAGACCATATTGGGTAATCATTGCTTTATTTTTCAGGACCCATAGGCCATGGAAATTTAATAGGTTCATCTGGCAGAAGTGGGAATCTATATAGACCATAATGGGTGATCATTGCTTTATTTTTCAGGATCCATAGGCCATGGGAATTTAACAGGGGGGGAATTTGTAGCAGAGCTACAAGAACTGATGCTTGTCAAGTAAATAGTGACAGCAGTATTTTAAAAGGCGTGGGAGGCACCCCCAAAACGCCCTGAGGTGTATGCAAGAGGTGTTTACACCTCTGAGGCATATGCCTCAGATGGCAAGAGGCATACACCTTTTTCATGAGGCATGCTAGAGGCATATGCCTCATGTGTCCTCATATAAAAAGACAAAAAAAAAGAAAAAAAAAAAAAAGAAAAAGCAAGAGAAGAAGAAAGAAGGGAAGGAAAGGAAAGATTTTTATTAAAAACTAAAGAAAAATGAGATCCTCCTTCCTCTTCTTCCTCCTCTCCCTCCTTTCTTCCTCCTCATCCACCTCCTCTTAAGGAGACTTATGCCTCCTTGTGTTCGTGAGGCTTATGCCTCTTACATTCTGAACTACGTCTCACACTCTCATGCCTCTAGGTACTGGAACGCCTCGCGTCATGCCTCCGCATTTTAAAACATTGAGTGACAGTAAAGGTAGGTAGCAGCAGCCAGCCTAAGCTGAGAGATGGTTGTCATCTTTGTAAATACCACATTCTTTTATTATTTTAATGAAGTTTCAGGTGACAGTAAAGGTATGTCCATATAGTTTTTTAACAATTAAACAAGCCTCCTTTAAACAAAGGTTTCCAAATTACAAACATGGGAAGATGAATATAAATTTGTATTGAAAATGATTTATCCAAAATGTATTCTGCAATGAACGTGCAATTCATAAGTTTATGGGTAATACTTTACTTATATTTTCTGATTCAAAAAATAAATTTGAAGGCTAAAAAGTTATAACCAGTTAGTCTAATTGATTTCTGGTACATACTGTTTAAAACTTACAACTTCACAACCAATCTATGAAATAGAGAGGTTTTCCTTTATCCATCTTCCATCCCAAGTCCCAGTAATCATGGCTACTTTTGCTACAGCCCCAACATTGGGAGACTCCAAGGCGAATTCATTCTGACATTTTCTGAACTGCAAAACATAAATACAAAATTAAGATAGGGTGAAAATCAACACAAAGCAACAGAGATATCCATAAGATCTTCATCCTCAAGGAATAGAAAAAGGAGGTAAAGATAGAAAGAGCATTAAAAAATAAAAATTGATTACATCCATACTCCATAATACAAATAAAAAAATCCAATACAAATAGATCATAATCTTAACTAGAAGACATTTAACCAGTAATTGAGCTACTTCCAAGCTTGGTTCTGCAACCCACAAGTATGCTACCCACACTACCCAGAAGACACTACAGCTGCACATTGGGAATATCTCTTGTACTTGTATGTTGCCATTCATGGGTGTAATCTGAAGTGCTATACTCGAAGTAGCAAGAAAGAAAAGAGAATGACA